ATTTTGCCTCCTTTAACATGGATACATCGTCGTACTCAGTTGAAAAGCAGGAAAAGGGGGCATTCTGCTTCCTTTTATCGCGAAAGGGTTAATACTTAACCCCTTAAGCGCGGGTGCTGACAAGAACAGGATAGGCACCTTCGTAAACCCTCCTGGATGGTATAATAGTTCCAGTTGATTCCAGTATTCCTTTCTGAAATCATAATTAAATTTGCGTATTTTCTGTTCACTTTGTTGCTAACCTTTCTACTAATAATTCGCAAAGGTAATGATGATTTGCTCCTGTGACCAATCAAATGGTTCCAAAAATCGAAATTATTTTTAGCATTTCACTCCAACAATGCTGTCACGTGCAAACAGGAAAAATCATGTTTATTTGCTATCGTGGTACCCGTAAAAGAAATGTTTACTTGCTATCGTTGCTGATACCTACACCACGGTCTCTAACGTTGCCAGCCTTCGGGGCAAACTCGCCATTACGCCACGTAATGTGCCATATTTGACCACAAGTGAGCCCTTCGTTTTGCTCGTAGTTTCGCATCGTGTTGCACAAAGTAACGAGGCCTCTCTTTCCTTTGGAGCATTTGGGTCAGTAGTAGGTGCTTGTGCCACCTCGTTTCTTGTAGCTGGGTTTGTAGATAGAACATACTTGCATTGACGCTGGCGAACACGCTCCACACCACCGTTCACCCTAGTGTCGACAGACTGAACCAATGTGTGATCATGCGTCACAACAATAGATCTGTTCGCAACAGCCGGTGCTGCTTCACTCGCGGTCGTTCTTGTGAAACTGTTAGGGGTCTCGCGAATAAGGTGTTCGTGCAGAATAGTCATGTACCGGTAGTGGCTGTACGGTTTCTTGCTCTGCTTCCCAGCGTTGCACTTGTGCGTGATGTATCCATTTACCAGTGCCATGTCAACGAGTCCAAGGAATAAGCCTTTGTAGTACTTGCGGAATCTAAATCACAACACCGACAAGAACAGCATAAGCGTTTGAATCATATATCCACCCGAACAGCATAACGAACCTGCAAGACATCTGTATGGAGTAAGACTGAAGTCGGAGCTGGTCATGGCGGTCAACACCGCCCATATACTGCAGATATGTGCTTACCACACTCGGGCAAGGAACCGTCGTCAGTGTTCCATTCTTCTCTCTTCGTACAACCGACGTCAACTCCGTTGACACTTGTGATGCCAGGAAATATACTGGTTTATTATCAACCCAA